ATTCGACGTATTGTGGTTGCAAATCCCTGAAACCTCAGATGCCAACTTTGCCATTACAGCTCTGAGCGGGAGGGGAAGCCTCTGCAGAGAGCACCCATGGCCACACTATCCCGCGGCCACCAGGTCCACGCTGTCCCACAGCCACGCTGCCCTCCGCCACTACGGCCATGCTGTCCCACAGCCACGCTGTCCCACAGCCACGCTGCCCCGTGCCACTACAGACATGCTGTCCTGCAGCCATGCTGTCCTGCAGCTATGCTGTCCCATGGCCACTACGGCCATGCTGCCCCGCACCCACGCTGTCCCACGGCCACACTGCCCCACAGCCTCCTATCCAAGACAGGGCATCTTCTGAGGCTACTGACCCGAGGTCAGAAGAGGCCTTTCAGGGGATGAGGCCTGGACAGTCCTAGTCTACCTACCGAGGCGACAGCAGACTTTCAGAGCAGACTGGAAAGGTGAGCGCTCACAGGGACCCCCAGTGGGAGTTCAGGTCTGCAGTTCACACTGTTCCGAAAGGGGCCTTAACAGAGGACATGAACAGGTCCACCCTCAAGCCAAACAACGTGGCCTCGGTCACCTACAAGGCCCACGCCCTGCCGTGGTTCCTCTGCCTCTCAAGGACCTTGCGTTCCCCGGTGGGCCTGACCAAGCTGAAGCCAGGGCGCCCCCTCCGCAGTGTCTGCTGTGCCCAGGAGGGGCTGTGTACGTCTGCTGGCTGTGTAACGCCCTGACCGACAGTTGTGCCAGCAGACACACGCAGGCTCCCACACGACAGACACACGCCCACCTCCAGGGCTTGTCTGGCCAGGAGGGTAACGCTGCTCTGTTTCCCGTCAGTTCACAGGCAGGAGTCAGATGTCGCAGGAAGAGGCCCAGCACGTGGCAACAGAGTCCGGCTTTTCCCGTGCCGTTTGGAAGTGGGACACGACCACGACCAGCTGACCGAGACGCCCAGGGTGGGCTCCCACCATGGGGTCCCTGACCTTCATCAAATGAAGGACCTCACTCTTCCCACTGAATACGTCTGTGCCTTGTCAGATGCCTTCCCAGGTGCTAACACACACACAGGCCCCGCCCACCCGGCCAGGTACTGCAGGCACGTGTGGAATCGCCTCACGTTTCAGTCCTGGAGCCCACACATGCGGTTCACAGTCAGAGAACAACGGAGCGCGGACTGCGGCGGCCCGGGCACTGGCGGCCTCCCAGTGCCCTCCGGCCTGGCGCTGCTCTCGGCCCTCTTTGAAGTGGATCCGCCGCTCTCCTGCCCAGGAAGGAAGCGCCAAGGGCGGCTGCCTCCAGAGGAAGGGGGACCCCTGAGGTGTCCCGGCTTCGGTCCAAGTTTCTGGAGAGAATCTTGCCTTCCTTTTGGGGTCGGGACAGTGGGGCAGGGATGGCTGCACTGCTGTGCTGAAGAGCAGCAAACCAGCCCGCAGGGCCGCTGCCAGAGCCAACGTGCCGAAGAAGCCAGGGCGACTTGACACACGGGGGTGGAAGCTGTCTCGGGGCTCCGGTGTCCTGCGAGGCTACACGGCTCTCCGCACCAGAAAGGCCGGTCTCGGCAGTCAGAGGCCGCTCTGCAGCCGCTGCGAGCGTCACGCACTAATGATGAAGCTGTGGCTTTCTCTGTCGTAAGCGTTGTCAAACCCCCAGACATTTACATTCCTAGACCAAGCAGACAGTGCCACAAAGTACCAAAACAAAAACGTGCCAGGCCCCGCTGCCACAAGCCACGCTCAGGTGAACGACAAACGGGAGCAGAGAAGCCTCCCACGCAGGGGGCTCACGCGAACCTCAGTCCTCCAGTGAGGAATGCACACAGTGACGTCCTCACCAAGAGTGCAGGGCGAAGGGGAAAAGCCGCTTCAGCAGGCAGACACCCAACCAGCACGGCCCCTCCAGGCCACCGTCGGACAGACCACTCACGTGGACCCGATGTGCAGGGACGTACATCACAGGACCCGGGGCTTCAGGGAGAACTACTAACAGCCACGTGCACTCCCACAAGAGCGCTGGATGCCAACACGCCACTTGGGCCTGTGCTGACAGCTCATGGGTGCCTCAGCAAAGTCAGGCCTGTGTGCTGTGGACTGGCCTGGGGCGGAGCCACGTCATGGGTGCCTGTGGCGTCCCCAGGCCTCCTACCCTACTCTGGTGACACTGTCTGACCTGCTTGTTGAATGAGACGACACACTTGAGTGTAGCTGAGAACTAAGGAACCACCAACAACCAGACTGGCAGCGGTGCCCACCCCACCACAGCCACACAGGGGGACCCTCCATACAGCAGCCCCGATGTCAGCTGCAGCCATCACCGCATGACCCTACAGGGCCTGGGCTGTGGCGCCAAGTCCAGCGCACAGACACCACGCCTCTGGCCAGGGCACACGTGAGCCAAGGGAGCTACGCTCGGGGCAGAGCACTCGGGCTTCTGGAAGAACAAGGGGAAGCGCACATGGCCATAGACACTCCCACCAAGCCCACAGACACTCCCACCAAGCCCAGCCGCCCTGACTACGATGGAAAACACAGGATCCACAGCCCAAGGCGAGCCCGGCCTCCGCCATTCCACCCCGCAGGCTTCCTCCTGGGACACGGTCCCAGTCCCGGTCCCGGTCCCGACCACACAGCCCTGAGCCTGCTGCTCCTGTCCTCCTTCCCTGCCAGACGCCAAAGCCGTCCCGAGTCTCCATGCAAGCCCGGCGGGCCCATCGAGGGTGGAACCAAGCTGGGTACACAGGAGCCAGTGCAGGCCAGCACGAAACTAGTCCACACAGACCCACACCACCCTCCTCCACGTCCACACACACACACCAGCCTCCTCCACGTCCACACACACCACACCAGGCTCCTTCACGTCCACACACACCACACCAGGCTCCTTCACGTCCAGACACACCCACACCAGGCTCCTTCACATCCACACAATCACACCAGCCTCCTCCACGTTCACACACACACACCAGCAGCCTCCACGTCCACACACACCCACACCAGGCTCCTTCACGTCCACACACACATCACACCAGCCTCCTCCACGTCCTCACACACCACACCAGCCTCCTCCACGTCCACACACACACACCTCACACCAACCTCCAACACGTCCACACACACACACCACACCAGCCTCTGACACGTCCACACGCACACACCCCACACCAGCCTCCGACACTTCCACACACACACCCCACACC